TTAGAAAATAATATAGATTATCTTAATAAAATTTTGAGTAATTTTAATTTATTTAATTGTTCAAAATTGTCTAAAGTATCTAAACTTACTGTCCACAACTGTACCGTGACAATACTGCCAGTTACTATTTCAAAGCAAATAGATGAGCAGAATAGACAATACAAAAAATTTCTCATATATTGTAAAAAATTTGTGCCAAAAAGCAGAACAAATAGTATAAGTATATTAGAGGTGTAGTATAGGCCTTAAATATTATAGTGACAGATTTGGGTTATTTCTCATTTTACCTGATATATGGACATGACACGATAATACTAATAGAGTTGATTTTGCAAAGTTACCAAATATATATAGAGGAAAAGAAAGTAGACTACAGAGAAACTCCTGGAGTATTGAATGCACCAGATAAGAAATATAGTAATAGATTTGAATTGTGCACAGACAAATAAGAACAAGCTCTGTCAATATTAAAAACACTTTCATGACCAACATGCCAAAGTAAAAGAGAAGGTGAATAAAGAAGATCTCATTCTGGTATATAATTCAACACTTAATACTATCTTTTTAAGAAAGCTTAACTATCAATAGCTTGGACCTTATATTGTTAGAAAAATTGGTGACAAAGGACAATTTTATATTAATGAAGTTGATGAAAGTCCTTTTAAGAACTCTGTTATGCACAATCGAGTCAAAAAGCTTAAATCAAGAGCTTTAAATAGAAATAGCAATTGTGGTTAAGATTTAGATATAGATCCTGAGGATAGTAATCTAAGAGATATAGCTTGTATTACAAACTTTATTTTGATACATATGACTTGGGAACAGGTAATAAGTAGTTACAGATCCAATAGTAAAAAAAGATCAGAAATGAATATATGATATAATAAATTAATAATTCAAAAGTTAAAGTTAGTAGCATAATTAATAATTGCATAAATAATATAATTATAGTTTCATAATTTATTGAAATAGTTGTATTAACAATATAGTCATAGATAGATAATTAATTTGAGTAATTTATTAAGCAATTAGCAAAAGGGTAAGATAAATAGCAAAAAAGAAAACATTTTGTATTCATTTCGAGAAGATAATATCTTTTTAAATAAATAAATATTTAGTAAAACTATAAACAAGCATATATAGAGTCACCACTTAATAAATAAAAAGTTTAAACATCTTCTGATATTCCAAAAGTGAAGCTCTAACCCATCAGTCTAGATATTTAGAAGAAAAACCTACTTTTAATTAACTTTGTAATACTAGATTATGATACAATAATAATAAACATGTTATTTATAATTTATCAATAAGCAATATATTTAAAATAATAAAATATTTATTCGTTAAATTAAAACAAAATGTTGCAAATTTTAGTGATCAACATTCAATTGTTAATATAATATAAGATCAATTAATATAATTAAATATAAGTTATAAATAATTTTATGCTTTAATAGTTTCATTACTCACACTTACAGGTTAATATACAACCAATCTGCAAATATTAAATCTGCATTTATTGCAGACTTTTTATTATTTAATCTAATATTTGTTAATAGCATTATTTAGAACAAAAAAAATTAAGATGTCTTAAACATTTTGATTATCACTATCATCATTATTATTATCTTTATCATTATCTACACCAACTGGTTTCTTATCAGATAGATTGACTATCAATCTGTATAGCACATTTTCTTTCATTATATCTGTAGTATCAACATATTCACATTCAAGATTATCCATGATTAAGTGAATAGTAGTCTCAGGAACTATAACTTCCAAGAGATACTGACTTGTTGTTTGTAATATGCAATTAAAATTTTCAATAATTCGAGTATTTATGAATATTTTATCTAATTGGTCAGCAATTTTTTCAAGGACTTTGGTTTCAAAATAGCCAGGCTATAGAAATTGAAGTATTAATATATTATTAACTTTTTAGAATAAAAATTTTAATTAAATATAAATAAATACTATAATTCTGTTAATATTTTTTATTTGAGTACTAGTAGTACAGAATCTATTTATACCAAGACTAGAAATTCTGTTCATCACTTTTTGATGATAATGATTTAAAGCATGATTAGAAAAATTTTTTGAAGTATACTTTGAAGTTCTAAAATACGATTTGGCAAATTATCAAAGTTGACTTTAGAGTAGCTTGATTTTAATGCTTTAAATTCTTCGTTGCTATCTATTTATGCATGTTAGTAAGTTAAGTTTAAAATAAAAAAAAAATTAAAATTAAAATTGAAAAGTAGCTTATATATTTTTTCAAATTTAAACTATCTTGTTAATGATTTAGCTTTGGTAGTTTCTATAATAATAAAATTAGATAAATGCTTTTTAAATTACTTACTGTGATCAGAAAATTCAGAATCTAGAAAAAATGCAAATATATGATTGTTTAAAAATAATTTTTGCTAATCACAGATTGCAATATTTAGGATTTGCTAATCACAGTAATTTAAAATAAGTATATAAAAATACTATGTACTCTAGTAAACCAGTTATTTGGAACAGTGAAATCAACTATATAAATTCTAATTATTTCATAAAGATTGTTAATTCTTTGATAAAATGTTTTATTATATTTTAGTTCAAACTTGAGTTTCTTATGATTAATCAAATAGTTAATGAAAAGACTAAATTTATATCTTTTTTTTAAAATGTTACTATTATTTGTCTTTCCAGTAAACAATTTTTTATATTTGTTTTTAATATATATTTTTTTGTTTAGAGATTCTTTATATTCTTTCTCAAGATCATTAAATTTAATACAATCTAGTTCTTTATTGCAAATAGTGAAAAGAATCAAATTCATAGAATATATCTTGATATTATTCAGTTTTTTTTTCTACAAAAAAATATCAACCTTTACTTTCACCTTTCTATCCTTTTGTTTTTTAACTCTCTTTTTAAAAAATAGTTACTTTTAGATTGAATGTTGTTAAGATTTTAATATTAAGATTTTAGCAAAATTATACCAAAATTTATTACCTTAGATTTTCATTTCAAACTATTGATTTGAAGGTTTAGTTTATTAATTTTAACATAATTTTTACATTCTAATTTTCTTTTTGCTGTTCTTTTTTTTTTTAAATCTTGTTTTAATTTTTTATTTTTAAGGTTGAGCAATTTGAGCTATTCGACTAGATCTGTTTACGCTATAATGATGAAACTATAATCTTAAATAAAATTATAGCTGTTTAAAAATACATAACCTGTATTCTTTAGTATTATTTGTTTTGATATTTTGATGGAAAATAAGAAATTTTTATTTATAGCTAAGTTTATAACTTGAATTTGAGTGGTGATATTTATATTGTTTGATAACTCAAATTTGAGCAGTATTTATATATTTGTTTATATATTAATTATCTAAAATAAGAGCTATTATTATACCAC